ATGGCCAACTGCAGCCTGAGTCTTGGGCCTGGTGACTTGAAAATCACACCGGGTGGATGTGAGTGCATGCCCAAGATCTCAGAGGAGATTGGAGAAGAAGGGATTGTGGCATGGTCATTCCCCTGGGGGGGAGGGTGAGTTCTCATTTTCCCTTTGATTTTTCTCTGTCTCTCTGGCGTGCACATGTACCCTAAGACAAAAACCTCAAAAAAAGAAAAAAGAAATAACGTCTCAATCAGTGTGGAAGTGAAACGGACTGGCAGGCACGAACTGTAGGTGACCTGTCTTTTGTGCATGGGTCAGTTTCAGATCTTAGTTCTGAGTACAAGTGTTAAATGGGTCACCCCTAACAATCCTGAGGGTCTTTTCATGTGTTGGGAAGACCTCCTAGATGCACATTGGTCCAAGGCTACTTTTTATATTTCGATCCTTTATGTTCTGCTGAAATGTAGCTCAATGGACCAATGTGCATCTAATTTCCGTAGAACATAAAGGATCGAAATATAAAAAGTAGCCTTGCCATCAGTTCACCCTGTAACTTCCTGTACAGTCCTCAAGTACTGGAAAGTGTATCTTCCACACTGATGACAGGGTCTTTGCTGTCACCATACTACTGTTAACATGGCATTTCATGTTGTCAAGAACTGCTTATCAGATGCAGTTGTTCATTGACAGGAAGTCACTGATAGACTTTTGGTGCAGACTGGAACCTCTAACAGGAAGGTAGTACTAATATCTTAACATTTTAGTTAGAATAACTTTTAACAGGTTTCTACAACATGTGATACTTAATGTTTCAAGGAAGGATGTGACAGAGTATCCAAATCTCTGTTGTTATTAAAACAGGAATTCCGGGGCCTAGTAGGTGGCATGGTGGTTAAGGTGCTGGACTACCATGTCATCTGTGCAGTTTCAGTCCCAGACCTGGTGACTTGAAGGACGTACCTGGCACATGTATATGTGTACTCAAGATCTCAGGAGAAGAATGGAGAGGGGATTGCAGCATGGCCATCACCCCTAGGGAATACTTTCTATTTCTTTCCTGTGAGCACATGTACCCTGTAGCAAATTTAAAAAAAAAAAGAAAGAAAAAAGAAACAAGAATTCTAGGGCCAGTCTAGAATGATAAGCTATTGGCTCTCACATGGTCAGCTACGTGGTTTGAGTACTTGACCCAGCAGCTTGAGAAACACCACTGGGCACATGTGCTTGTGTGTCCAAAATCCTGAAAAGAGGAGAGTCCGAGGAGACTCGATTGCAGAGTGACCATTCCCTGTGGGGTGCTTTCTCACTTTTTCTCTCTCTCCATTCTCTCTCCCTCCTCTGATGGGCACATGCACCCTCTGGCAAAATAAAAAAAAATAAAGAACAGGTATTTTAGTGCATTCACGAACCTCAAGGAGTCTGGGAAGAGATTCATTACCAGTAGTCTTTGTGCAGTTTATAAATTTGCATATAGGGGGCAAGAAGTTAAATGTAAAGATCATAACAAACTACTATACAACCCAGCAGTCCTACTCTTGGATATTTATTCAATTGAAATAAAAACTCATGGGCCAGCAGGTAGTAGTTAAGGCGCTGGCCTGGGAGATCCGTGCCTTCACATGGCTGATTGCACTGTTAGGTTCCTGGACACAGAGGCTTGAAAATCATGCTGGGAGTGGGAGTAGCAGGTGGTGTGGTGGTTAAGGGCTGGACTCCCACATGACTGACCATGGTTCAGGCCCCAGACCAGGTAGTTTAAAAATCACGTTGGGCACGTACATACCCGAAATCCCAGGAAGAGAAGATGCCATGGCCATCTCCCCTGGGGGTGATTTCTCACGTTCCCTCCATCTCTCTCTAGGGAATTCGCATGCTCTGTTGCAAAAACTTAAAAAAAAAAAAATCATGCTGGGTTTATGTGAGTATACCCCAAATCCCAAGAGCAGAATGGAGGAAAAGGGATTGCGGCATGGCCATCCCACTGAAGGTGGTGATTCTCTCTCTTCTGGTGAGCACGTGTGCCCTATGGCAAAAAGAAAAAAAAAAAACTTACTATTTACACAAAAACCTGTACATGAATATATAATTGTACCCAAATGGAAACAACGTAAGTGTTTTCAACTGATACATGGATAAACTGTAGTACATCCATAAAACAAAATACTACTTAACAATAAAAAGGGACGAGCTACGGGTATATGCTGCAACATGGATGGATCTTAAATGTATTATGCCAGATGAAAGAAGCCAGACTTAAAAGGCTAGACACTGTAATTCCACAAGGCTGTGGTTGCCAGAGGATGGGAGAAGAATGCACATGTGAGGAGGAGGGATTTTGGAGGGGATAGCAGGATGATGGAGCTGATATTGTAATATTGTATCAAGTGTTTATATGTATTTTTATTTGTGGGGGATTAAAATTATTTTCTTTTAATTCTTCTTCTTTTATTAGTTTGCTGCAGGACACATGTGCTCATGAGAGAGAGAGAGCGAGAGAGCAAGAGAGCGAGCAAGCTGCCAGGCCCAGGTCCTGAACTGTAGTCAGCCATTGTGGGAGTCCAGTGCCCTCACCACCATGCCACTTGCTGGCCTCACTATATGTATTTGTTAAACTCATAGCACTATACTTTAGAAATGGTACAATATACTGTGTATAAATTATACCTTGGAGTTTTAAAGGATCATAAACACAAATATTGCTATAATTTATATTACTATTTTGTTACAGAAGAGTAGAATATTATTAGGAATATTCAGCCTTTTCAGGAAAATGGTATGGTAGTGCTCTCTAATGAAATAAGACTAACTTTCATGACTGTTTATGAACAAGAGTGTCAGCTGTTTAATCTGAGAAGGTCATTTTCTCATTCTGGCCAAGGAAGGAGGGAGTACTCCTAAAATAGAAAGAGACTGGAAGAAGAAAACAGATACTTTGTAGCAATCTATTATTTTAAAATCTGTCTTGGCACTTGACCTATAACCATATACTATCATCACCATCAAGGAATAATGCTAGTGGTATTTATAAGCTGTATTTTCTCTTTTAAAGCAGAAGGGGAAATATTTTAGGTTAGTAAACCATAACTGAATTAGGAGGCAGGGTCATCTCGGTGCAGGTTTGAATCCTGGCTCTGTCATATACATTAGCTGTGTTACTAGTAAGTTACATAGCTCAGGCAGTTTGGTGCTTAGAAAAGAACCTGGCATCTATTAAGTACAATGTAATTGTGACCTGGTCTTGGTATTAGCAGAGGACAGGGGAAGTAACCTTTTCTTGCCTTTTTTAGTGAATAGACTGAATTGGGGAGCAGGAGAGGGAAGCCTTTAAAGGAGAGGGGAGTCATGTGACAGCAAATCTTGGTGTAGCTATCTATGGCTCACTTATTCACACTTCCCTCTTCCTCATCCATCTCACTGAATCACCAGACAGTGCAAAGGTGGTCAAGGAATGTCGAGGTTGTCTAATCAGGACTCTGAGCAGGTAGCCAAAGTACTTACTGCTTGTTGTCAGAACCTGGGGTAAGCACTGGAGATGTATACTTTTTTTGTTTGTTTAAGCATTCAAAATATAAAACAACCTCAGAAACTTACTTTATAAGCTTATTCAAAACAGCCCTGCAGGGACCAGCAGGTGGCGTAATGGTTACGTTAGTTGACTCCCACATAGTCTACTGCAGTTTGAGTCCAGAACTGGTGGCTTAAAACTCAAACCAGGTGTGTGTGTGTGTGTGTGTGTGTGTGTGTACACACCCAAAATCTGAAGAGGACAATGGAGAAGGGATTGCAGTGTGGCCATTCTCCCCGGCGTGTGATTTCTCACTTTTATGTGTCTGTCTCTCTGGCAAGTGCACTCTTCCTATAGAAAAAAAAAAAAAATCTCTTCTCTTAAAAAAAAAAAAAAAAGTAAATACAAAACAGCCCTACAAATGCCAGTTTTATCCTGAAATACAAGTGTCAGCTACATTAGTTAAAACAGTGACCACACGGGGTCAGCAGATGGCATAATGGTTACATCACTGGACTCTGACACGGTCAACTGTGATTCCAGCCCCAGATCTTGCAGCTTGAAACCGGATGTATGTGCCCAAGATCCAAATAGTAGAATGAAGGGGAAGGGACTGAGGCATGGCCATCCACCCTGGGGGTGATTTCTCACTTTCTATCTCTCTGGAAAGCACATGCACCCTATAGCAAAAATCTCTTTCTTAAAACAAAAAAGGGAGGGGGGTCCAGCAGGTAGTGTGGTGGTTAGGGAAACTGGACTCCCACATGGCTGATTATGATTCAAGTCCCAGACCTAGCAGCTGGCCTTATCACACACTCTCTCTCCCCCTCACCACACACACTATGTTCTGTCTGATCAAATTAAAATAAATGAATGAATGAATGAATAAATAAAATTAAGTTCAATAAAATAATTCTTTAAAAAAAATAAATTAAATAAATTTTTTAAAAATGATGGGGGCCAGCAGGTGGCATGGTGGATAAAAGCTCTGGATTCCCACATGGCCCACCATGGTTTGAGTCCTGGACCTGCTTTCTCATTTTCCCTTTCTCTCTCTCTGGTCAAATTAAAGAATAATAATAATAACAAATGGAATTAAGTAAATAAATAATTCTTTAAAGAGAGAGAGCTTTTTGCTATAGGGCATGTACACTTGCTGTAGAGACAGAATGCAAGAACTTACCCCCAGGGGGATGACCACACTGCTATCCCTTCTCCACTCTCATTATCTTGGGCATATGCATGCATACGTCTGGTGTGAGTTTCAAGCTGCCAGGTCCAGGACTCGAACTGCAGTCATCCATGTGGGAGTCTAGCACCTTAACCACTATGCCACCTGCTAGCCTGAAAACCTTTCTTTAGTACCTAGGAAGCCTGGCAGTCAGTCTGTTTATGTGATTGATAGAAGTGTCCAGTGCTGTCCTTTGGTTGATAATGCCAGATACAAAGATCCAGTAAGGGTGGGCATTTTATTATTCACGAATATTCTTCCTCTGTTGAACAAAACCAATGTGGATCTTTCTGCCCTGTTAGGAGCTCTTGTCCCTGGCAAAGCGGAAGCGTAGTGACTCTGAGGAGAAGGAGCCGCCTGTGAGTCAACCTGCAGCCTCTTCAGACTCCGAGACATCCGACAGCGATGATGAGGTGAGTGTGGAGGATAAGGCCCGTGGGACTGACAGATGTTTGAGGGTTCCTAAGTTGATGACTCCTGGTGACCTCATTACCTTAAACTGAGACTTACAGCTTAATATCTACAAGAACTTGCAGGGAAAGGAAATTTAAAGAAAGCTCTTAAGTCATCAAGTTCTTGCACTACTCGTTACCTGGTGGGTCCTCTGCAGGGCACTCGTGGCCATTCTTTAGTCTTCTTTTCAGCCATATTGCAGAATAAGGGGCACACTCGTTAGTTATCATCTTCCTTTTTTTCAATGTTAGAAAAGAATTCTATGAAGGATGCCATATTATAGTGGGAAATACTTCAGTGAGACCAGAGATTGCATTTGGGAAGACTGACTCAACATCTCTCAGAGTGGTGGTGTTCACTTTAAAGGAAGAAAATCCAGCTAGTCATTGTCTAAACCAAGGTGACTTTCCTAAACTCCCCACCAACAAGGCACGGCCCTAAAAGATCCAGAACTTTAGTGAAATACAGCAATGAGGGGAAAGAATTTGAAACATCCTACATGTTCTTCATTCTATTTTTTTTTTTAACTTTAATTTTTTTAATTGCCAGAAGGTGCATACATTCTTCAGAGAAAGACTGAGTGGGAGGAGAGGGAGAAAGCACTCCCCAGTGGGTTATGGTCACACCACAGTCCCTTCTCCATCCTGTCAGGATTTGGGGCATGCACCCACACATGCCAGATATGTCTTTGAAGCTGCCAGGGACAGGGTTGGAGCTAGATGGTCAGCCATGTGGGATCTAGCTCCCTTAAGCACTAGGCCACAGGGCTGGTCCATAATTTTTTTCTCTTTAATTTTTTTTAGAGAGGTTTTTGCTATAGGGCGTGTGTGCTCGCCAGAAAGACAGAGACAGACAGACAGAAAGCGAGAAATCACCCCCCCAGGGGTATGGTCACACCACAATCCTTCTCTTCCATTCTCTTCTCGGCATCTTGGGCACACACGCATGTGCTCCCAGTGTGAGTTTAAGCCACGGGGTCTGGGACTCGAACCATAGTCGACTACATAGGAGTCCAGCGACATAGCCATTACACTAACTGCTGGTCCCTTTTTTTTTTTAATTGCCAGAGAGCACATGTGCTCGCTAGAGGGAGAGGGATGGAGAGAGAGAGAGCACATCTCACAGCAGGGCATGGTCACATTGCATTCCTTTCCTCGTTTCTTCCTACTGTCAGAATTTAGTGCACATACACACCCAGTGTATTCATTCTTCTTTTTTTCTTTTTTCTTTTTTCTTTTTTGAGAGGTTTTTGCTATAGGGCGCATACGCTTGCCAGACAGACAGAGAGAGACAGAGAGATAGAAAGCGAGAAATCACCCCCAGAGGGGATGGCCACGCCGCAATCCCTTCTCCTCCATTCTCCTCTATGGGATCTTGGGCACGCACGCACATGCGCCCGGCTTGAGTTTTAAGCCACCGGGTCCGGGACTCAAACCGTAGTCAACCACGTGGGAGTCCAGCGACATAGCCATTACGCTAACTGCTGGTCCCTCTTCTTTCTTTTTTTAAAAATTATTTTAACTTTATTTATCCATTTATTTGTTTCAGTTTGATCAGAGAGGGCTAGAGAGAGCAAGCAAGCAAGTCGCCAGGTCCGGGACTCAAACTGCAGTCGGCCATGTGGGAGTCCAGCACCTTTAACCATCAAGCCACCTGCCGGCTCCCCCAGTGTGTTTTTCAAGCCACAGTCAGTATTTGAACTGTGCTGTTGGTCATGTGGGATCTGGCTCTCTTTACCACTAGGCTTTGGGGCTGACTTCATTTGATTTAAAGTATATTTTTGCCTTAGTAATTTCCTAGAGAGAGGCTCAGTGTCACCCTTCTGTTTCATCACTTATCTTGCAGACTAGAAAAATATTTTTAACAGTAAAGTAAAAAAGTATATTAAGACGATGAAATTTAATTAACAGGTGAACAGTATCTACCAGTGCCCTATGTATGCAAACTGGGAATGATTGTATTCTGATTGTGTGATGTCCTCTTAAACTTGAATAATTTTTTTTTTTTTAAGAGATTTTTGCTGTAAGGTCCATGCACTGGCTGGAGGGACAGAGAGAGACAGAAAGCGAGAAGTCACTCCCCCAGGGAGGATGGCACACTACAGTCCCTTCTTCATTCTCCTCTCAGGATTTTGGGAATCCACACACATGCACCCAATGTGAGTTTCAACCCACTGGGTCTGGGACTCAAACCACAAGGGAGTCCAGTGATATACCCATTGTGCTATCTGCTGGCCCCAAACTTAAATAATTTAACATACCTAAAATTGCTTTCCCCAGCAAGAGGTAGCGAATATCTATTCTTTTTTTTCTTTTTTTTTTAGTTTATTTTTAATGAAGATACTTTAATTTCTTTCAATTGATAAAATAACCTAATCTGTTAGAAACTCAAGGGAGTCTGTGAAGTCATCTTTTTGTTTGTTTGTTTGTTTTTAAGAGAGATTTTTGCTGTAGGGTGCATGTGCTCGCCAGAGAAGCAGAATGACAGACAGAAAGTGAGAAATCACCCCCGGGGGTGGAGGGGAGGATGGCCACGTTGCAATCCCTTTTCCATTCTCCTCTTGGGATTTTGGGCATGCATGCACACACACCTGGTGTGAGTTTTAAGCCTTCAGGTCTGGGACACGGGAGTACAGCGACATAACCATTATGCCATCTGCTGATTTCTGTTTTGTTCTTTTTTTAAAAAAAAACTGCATTAACAATACAGCATAATCTTAAATAATTCCTTCTCCCACCATTCCTAAATCACCTCCTTCTATTGTTCATGTTTCAGAAGTCAGCTGCTAGGTCTTCCTACCCCGGTATTCTATATTCTATTAAGTGTGAATTTGTCTTCGTCTGGAGTACCCTGTTACTTGTTCACAGTCTTTGATTCCTTCAGATACAAGCAGTAACTATCCTTGGACTCTCTCATTCTCACATTGCTATCATTAGGTCAGTCCTGGGTAGGCAGGTTCTCTAGGGATTCTCTCATCCCTTTCCACTGCTTCTACCAGGACAGTACCAATTCCACCTCATTACAGGTGTCCCAGACAAAATAGCTCCCGTGTCCATAAAAATTGTTACAGCTTAGCGTTTCCTTTGTACACAGCTACTTAAAACAAAAACTTCTCCCCTCTTAGTACCGCCCAACTATTTATGCAGGTATGAGAGAAAAAAGCTGACCAGCACTCTGCATCCTGCTCAGTAGGGAGTGAGACTTAGGTTGACCTTCCCTCTCCATGGTCCTTATGGTGAACTCACTTGAAGTTGTAGACATTTTAAGGTGGATTGGGGACTTCTGAGAGATCTCAGGATATAAAGTTTGAGACAGAAGCTTTTGCTTTTTTTTCCTCTCTCATAATGAATAGCATGTATCTCTGTGGGGAGAAAAACACATACTGAAGTAGTTGGTTGTCTTTTCATTTCTGCTTGGGCTTTTATATCTTTATTACCTACAAGTTAGCCATATAAATTTGGTTGTTGAAATGGCAACTCTAAGTCAGATGGAGCCTGCTTGTACCAGAAACTACTCTGGAGTTTTTGAGATATGCCTTCCTTATTGTTTTTTCGCCACCTTTAAAAGAAATTTGTTGGCTCCCTCTGAATTGCTAGGACAGAAAGTCGGTCAAGAACTACCAAGTTAAAGAGTTAATTGCTAGTTTGTTGTAAAGTGAGACATGTAGTAATTTTAGAGCTAATTGATGGCAGGGGAAGGAAATTGGAAAGTAGTTATGAAAGTTTATATCCAGGTAAAAAATAGGTACACGAGACATTAAGTATAATGTCTAGGGGCCGGCAGGTGGTGTAGTGGTTAAGGCGCTGGACTCCCACATGGCCGATTGTGGTTCAAGTCCCAGATCTGGTGGCTTGTTTTTTCACTTTTCTCTTTCTCTCTCTGTCTCTCTCTGGTCAAATTAAAAATAATGATAATAATAAATTAAATGAAATCATTCTTTTTAAAAATTTATAATATCTAATTAGCAAGGGAATAAGAAGATGTTTTATGTATAGTTGTTTTTGCAGGGAGAGAAAGCTTAAGTTTAATGACAGAATATCCCCATGCATTTTTTTTGTGTGTGAATAAATTATTTTCAGTGATACCTTTTTCCCCCCTTAGTTTGCTGTATGTTGCATGCACTTGCTGGAGAGAGGGGGAGAGACTGACAGACAGTGAAAGTGAGAAAGCACCCCCAGGGGAGATTGCCACGCCACAACCACTTCTCCCCCATTCTCTCCTCAGGATTTTGGGCACACAGGCACACATGCCTGGCATGTTTTCAAATCACCAGGTCCAGGATTCAGCCACCTTAACCACAACACTGCTGGCTGGCCCATTGCAGTGATATATTGAGGCACTTGTAAAAATAAGAAGCAAGGCTTTTCTGGACGACTTACATTGACCAAGTTGCGGAAGGTGGGCAGTATACCTCAGTGGAGGAAAGCCATAATGCTGTGCTGTCTCTTGGTGTTGTCACTTCCTGTCTCTGAGGATATTCAACAGGAGAAGCAGCTCCAGGGTTTCAAACAAAAGTGACAGGAAGAGGCTGGCCCTGTTGTCAGGAAGTTAATGGAGCGGGATCCCACATGACTGACTATGCTTTGAATCACTGTCCTGGCAACTGAAAAACATACCAAGTGTGTGTGCCCCAAATCCCAACAGGGTGGAGAAATGGAGGAAAGGGGATTGTAGCATGTCACAACCCACTGAGGTGGAGTGCTTTCTCCTGCTCCCTCTCCCTGTTTCTCTGGAGAACACATGTGCTCTCTGGCAAAATAAATAAATGAAAATAAAAATAAACAGGGACCAGCAGATGGCATAATGATTATGTCACTGGACTCCCACATAGTTGAATGTGGTTTGAGTCCCAGACCTGGCAGCTTAAAACTCATACAGGGCACGTGTGACCAAAATCCCAAGAGGAGAATGGAGGAGAAGGGATTGTGGCGTGGCCATCCTGCCTGTGGGAGTGAGTTCT